TCAACATGGAAGAAGACATAGATAAAAAATCTGCTTTCATCCAGGCTGGTCACAACACCAGTGTGTGATTTGTAGTTATTGATTGTTCTTTACCTTTCATTTATCACACTGGGATATGTTTATCAAAAGTATAAATCCACAAAGGCAAATTAAATTGTGGCTGGCATTAATTTTTCCCCCATTTTCAGTTATTTCTTCTTTGCTTCTATTTCTCTTCTTCTATCCCTGTGCCAGTGTTTCTTCCATGTAATTTCCCATGGACAGGAAGACTGTTTGCAAATTAAAACAGGAGAAAAAAAAAAAAAAGACAAGATGGACTCATTGCTCATGTGAGCAATCCCAAGCTGTGAGGTCACTTTGCTGTTGAAGACAGTGATAAGGTCACCCTGCAGTGCTGCAGCCAGCTCTGGGAGGAGAGCAGAAGCACGCTGTGATGCCAGGCTTTGCTGTGCATCTCTGCTTGCTGAGGCACGACCACAGCATCACCACTGCAGCATGGTGTCACCACTGCAGGACTCTCTGCTCCCTCTTAGCACAGCTTTATTCCATTGTAGAGCAGACAGGGCTGTAGATCTGATTTTTTAGAGAAGTTCCCAGCAGAAAGGGAGTATCTGGTCAGGAGAAGCTTCCTTCAGACTGTAGATGGGCTGAGAGGATTGCTGGCTCAGTGGGTCCCTCGGTGCTGACAGGGTCACTCCTTTCCTATATCAATCCTTGCTCAGTTCTTTTCCTGGGCGGGCAGATCCCCATCCTCACCTGCTGCCTCGTTTTCCCTGCCTCGGTGACATCTGCATTGGTGACATCTGCATTGGTGACATCTGCATTCAGAGCATCTCTAGGCTATCCTCGCCTCTCTTCCACCTCTTCACCCCCCCTCCTGTATTTCCCTCTCATTTCTCTATTTCCATTCGGGCCACGTCCTCACTACCCTCTGTTTTCTCTTATTCTTTCATTTTAGACATGATAGCATTTTGCTTCAGCAAAATTGAAGCTCTTGAGGTCAGCTACCAAGGGCAAACATGTTCACACATGGGGTTTCAAAGGACAGGAAACGCTTTTGGCATGATTTCCCTGAAGGAGAATTTGAATGCTTTTGAAATCGGGGAACTCAGATATCTGACTGCAAACCAGACACAGGCAGTCAAACTTGGACCCCAAACTGTCCACAAAACAAGCATTAGAATAAATTCATGCTGTTGCAGCATATTTTCTGCTTATCCAGCTCTTGCTGGAGTTTTCAAGGAGACTGAAGCACTGAATCTGACAGAAGAGGAAAAAGCCATTTTGTCATTAGAAGCTAAAGAGAAGTAGTAAACATCTGGCAAAATTATATATAAATTTTTTAAAGACTAACTGCAAAACAGTTTGATCAGCTTCCTTTGAGCTTCACAGGCTGTTTCTATAAGGGCTATTTCTATAAGGGTCACTTTGGCAGCCTTTGGTTCAAATTTGGTACAGCAGTCCTAATTAAAGGAGTACAAAACCAGAGATTTGTAATTATCACCACAACCATTTGTGTGCTGTGAGTGGCAAAGAAAAAGAAGTAACATTTTGAACCACACCGCTGTGCACCCACGTTTGAAGTAAAATACAACTACTGATGAATAGTGTATGACAACAACAGGCTAGGTAATGACGTGCTCTACTGAAGCTTTGGCAGGGTTTGACTAAGCATTGCATCTAGAGCTGCACATGGAATTGCCCCTGGCAGTAGCACTGGAAGCACCTCAATGCACGCACAACACCCACAGCCTTGTGCTGATGACTGATGTTTGGGTTTATGAAGACAATTGCCCTGTATAAGTTAATGGGATATTAGCCATTAGATTGGCAGAGCTATAGAGAAATAACTGCTAGATTTGACACTATCCACTGTATTTAAGCATAAAATCACTGCTGATAACATATACAATTGATACAAAGATGATGAGGCTGGTCTGTAACAATGAGCACAGTCCTACAGAGAGATCTGCTTCATTTGATAATTTCATTATTCAGTTCAAAGCCAAATCTGAGGTTACACATTTCAGAGTGGAGAGTGCATCCAGACTTTTAGCTGTCCTTGAAATAGCATCTCAAAAATTACCTAGGAGCAAAGTGGGTGAATGCTTGAATATACACTCCCAAGCCAAAATCTCCTAATACAACTCTTGGAGATTTTTAAAAAAGGTAAAATGTGTGGAAATGGCGGGTGATTTTATGGTTGAGTATAATGCTAGTGAAATAAGTGCTGAAATCCTGCATCCACTTGCAGGATACGCATTAAGAAGGATATAAAGGTGATAGAGAAAAAGAAGAGCTCCAAAGAGAGCTGGGGGAAAAAAAAAGAAAAAAGCTCTGCAGTGAAGGACTCTGAGACCTTGACCCACTTATTTTGGAAAAAGAAAGCCAAGAGGTATCATAATTAGAATGGAGAGGCACCTTCGGAGAAAGAAGGCAGCAGTATGAAAAGAGTCTTTTATTACATTCAGAATGGGAATCCCCACTGCCATCAATGGGGGCTAAAGTGAGAGCAAATTACAATGGCAGTGAAATTAAATCATCAAACAAATTGCAGAAGGGGTTGTAAGTTCTTAATTTGCTTTTGTCTGTAAGGTTAAGCAGGAAGTTTTTATGCAAGATGAGCTTTTACCACCTACCAGTCATTGGGCTATTCATAGGACCGTAGTGTAACATTGCATTGCCTGTGAAGTATACGAGTGAGAGAGAGAAGGTGTAGTGTCTCCTGGTCTTACGATGTAAATGCAGTTTGACTCACAACACAAGTTGATAGGAGAAATTCCTATTACTACCTGGGAGTACTAAAAAACTATTGTATCATAACTATCCCTGCCATCACCTAGGTGCAGCCATGTGGCCAGCTGGTGAATCCAGCTATCAGAGATGCTGATGTCCAAAGGTCAGCAAAGCATCCCCCACTGGCAAAACTGAGGCACTAGACGTTCAAGATAGGCACCTAAAAACTTGAACTGATGGAAGCTGTCTGGGTTACTAGCATCCCTTCCTTCTCCTCTAACCAGTGGATGCTCACGAAGAGGAGCAAGGATGCCTGCCTCAATCCATGCCCCAGGACTCATTGGTTCTTATGTACCCATCAAGAGGATGAAACCCAGGGACATAAGTCATGCAGAAGCATGTTCTTACAGTTCAAATGTGCCTTCTAAGAAGATATTGTGGCATGGTGGGGCAGTTGTTAATGTCTTGCTGTTTTGGCCACCCTCAGTGCAGTTGCTTGTAAGCTCACTTAGGATGGTTGTCAGTTATAGTTTAGCTGAGCATATTTTCATGTTGGTGGCTCACAAGTTGTCTAGGGATGAAACCCTGCCCACCCACTCTTCCAGCCCCTGGCTGTGATCTGCTCCAGCTGCTAAGTGCAAAGCCACACTTTCTCCTCCTGCTTTCTCCCCACCCCTTTACACTAGGCAAGATTAACAGCCCAAATCTACATGCTATTACAATGCAAAATATTTTTTAATGATTTTAATGACTGCTGCTGTAGCCAGAAGCCAATCTGGATGCTGCAGAGCTGGGACAAGTGTGGGTTTGGTGTGCCTGCTCCACACAGGTCCCTTCATACTGGTGTTTGATCTTGGGTATCTGGCATCTGAGGGTGGCTTTGAAGGCAACTGCCCTTTCAGCCACTGCCAGTGTGCTTTCTCATTTGCAAACTAAGTTCTGCACAAAAGTTCCTTGAAGGAGAAATAACCAAAATGTTGCCAGCCTGGAAACTCCTGTCTGCTGCAGGTGTCGGTTGAATTTCCTGTTTTCTGTGAGCAGCTAGGGCTTTCGAAACTATTTTCCATCAACTACAGCAACTAATTAAATAGCATCTATCATTTGGTGTCTTGGAAGATTTCATACCATCAGACAACAAACAGAGCTCGGGAGAACATGGAGCTCCCTCTCCATTTTGAGTGGGACACAGACCCAACGCTCTGCCTGAGATTTTTTTGGAAAGGACGGGTCAAAAAGCCCCAGTACAAAGGCAGAGTGGGACCAAGGGCAGCTCAGGGGAAGGCTGCCCCAACTTTTCATGTTTTGGGCTCAAATCTGTGAGTTCTAGTTTGCAAATAAGGTTTCTGAGTTTTTGCCTGTTATGGTACAGTCACTGCTTGTCTCTGGCTGTAGAGCTTGCTGTCCTCAATTTCTTCAGTTACATTTCTCTTCTAATATATTCCTGGGGCTTAGGGCTTTGCCCCACATCAAACTGATACAGAAGCCGCAGCATTCCTCAGAGAACACAGCTTTCATTCACTGTCTGGCCAAAGTTATCATGGAAATTATTAGTTTCCTTAAGCATTTATTGTAGTTGTCCCAAAATACAGGCTTACCCTGTTCTGATCTGAAACACTGTGCTTGAAAAGGAGAAAATTCCACGTAGTACCACAAACACCATGTTTGCAAGAAGTTGGTATGTTAATTAATAAAGTCTGGGAGCCACTGGCTTAGCATACTAATGAATTTGTTATGCAAAGATAGATGGAAAGATACATTTCGTTATTAGACTTTTGAATGTGTGATGCTTTTATTGTAATTATTTGTTGCATTTCCTGTCTTTCTTATGAACACACTATTAGTATTTCTAATACTATAGTAGAGTTAGATAATTGTTTCAGCAAAGGGAAGGATATAAGGAGATATAAGCCAGAGGAACATAGTCAAGACTTGAAATGAGAGGAACAGCCAGTGGGGTAGACCCTATAGGAGATATCCTTTTGTAACTGAGGATCTGCAGAGAACAAGATCTAGTTAGCAGCAAAGAAGAGCCTTTTCCCCAAAGGGTTCTGAACATGAAGATTGGGCTGAACTGGACTGATAGGTGTGTGTAAATCTGAGAGGTCTGGCAGTGGGCACTATGGCTGCATGTCCTCACTAACGCCAGGAGAGAAATTGCATTTCTTACAAGCTACAGTGAAAATAGTGAAGGTAACCCATCGCAGGAAGATCCAGCCCTCTCAGCACAGGGGGCTGATGGCTATTTTTGAGGTGTCTCCACAGAGATGTGGACCTGCAAGCCTTGGAGCTGCTGCCAGCCCAGCTCTGATGAAGACTGGTAAGACCAGAGCCACCCTCTTCCCCAAAGTGGGGGTGGCTAAGCACATCAAGAAGCATCTGCCAGCTCTCAGACTCCAGTATGGCCACTGATAACCCTAACCAGCCGGGCTGGTTGAATCAGTCCTTGGGTAGGAGCCAAGCTGTGGGTTGCAAGTTGGACCACAAAGCTTCAGAGATCAGAGAAGTTATTAGTCAAAGGGAAGCAAGATAAAGGAGAGGATTGCAGTGCCTTTGGCAAATAGTGCCTTAACTGAAACAGGACAGCCTTCACATGGCTGCATGCAGGGCCAGGCTGTTGGGGTTCCTGATGTATTTAAGCACACACTTTACATTACAACTGACTACTAGACATCCTCAGATGGGTCCATAGGGAGAAGTCTGCATTGGTCAGGAGTGGCACTGGGACAGAGCAGTGGGTATTTGACAAGAGTTTCCAGAGATCAAACTCTTTGTGACTGGATATAGACTCAAGAATTCACCCTGCAAAACTCCCATAAGTAGCGATTGTCTAAAGCCACTTCCTCGCTTTCCTTGAGCCTTCCTGCAAAAAAGTTAGGGAAAACAGCCTTATTCCTTCTTATACTGAAGTCTTTTGTCTTCCCTGCTTGCAGAAAAGGTATATAACCTGTTTTGTTCCTCTGCACCCATTTTTTAGTAACGAGAATACCGTCCAAAATAATTATTCTTCATTCTGACACATAAATATACGCAAAAGGCTTGGGATAAGAATAGAAATCTTTATAGGCTCCTTCTAGATGCATCAGGAGGAATCAGGAGCCAAATTCTGCCCTTCCTTGCTGCAGATGAATGCTGTCGTTCCCTAAAATAAATAAAATTGCTCTGCACTTACACAGTGTCAGATTAGAAGCTAAGAAATCAAAACCTAACCCTGTGAAGTCTAGTTTGGCAATGCTCACAGCAAGCCATAAAACCCTCTATAGTTACTCAGAAGTGGCTCTCTGTTCCAGAAAAAAAAAAAAAGCAGTATTAAATCTGATCTGATAGCCCTGCAAGGTTAGGTGCCAATGCCTCCATCTCATTGAGAAAACAGTAAATTCTTTCTAGTGGTACTGTGCTATTATTTCCTGAGTCATAAGATGCTGGTCCTTAAACTCCTGGGTGATTCAAGCTTGCTTACAGAATCCTAACTGCTCTGGGTTTGGGAGAAGCTATACTAGAGGAGGACTTTATCCCAGTAGAAAAAGAGAAGACATTTCCCAAACCTAGCATCTGCTGGCATCTATGAAGTAGTTTGATGCATTAGAGGTGATCCCTTGGGAGAAGGAGTAGTTGCATGCTCCTATTTTTTGCATGAAATCAGGCTCAGCAGAGGGCATGCTGATGCACAAATATCAGCATGTCTTGCTGTCTTTTTCTCAGACTTAAGGAGAGGCAAAGGACGCCAGTGACGAGATGGATGTGTTCAGCCCTCCACGTTACCTACTGGGTGAGCAGGGGGTCTCATGTCACACGCTTTCTACAGACCAGTTGCTGCCAGCCAAGATTATAACCCGTGCTGTTGCTGCTCTTTGCAGAGAGACAACTCTGCTTCCGCTAGCTGCTTGGCTGGATTTCATGCCTTTTATTATAGCCCAACATAGCATGACAATGAAGCTGATTCACTGCAGCATCGCAGGAGTAAGACCACAATCACTTCATGTTGGTGAGCATAGCAGGAATACAAGAATGCAAACTCCCTCTCCACTCTCACCCTGACTTTTGTGACTTCAAAGAGAAGGATATGCTATATTTTAAACGTTCACTCACACAGACCCTTAGCCCCAGTGGTTGAACCTTTCAGGTATTTTAGGTAGAAGCTTGTCTTCTAACCAGCCTGAAGCTATGTGCACCATGCTGTAATCCTGACAATTTTTTCAAATAAATGTACTCGAATCTGGTAATTTTCCTGATGGCTTGCCTCCAAGAGAATGGTGTCAATCACCCAGTAGGTTTCAGGGCTGGGGCTGAGTCAGCTCTGACTCAGTCAGCAGCTCCAGCTTTGCCAGGCACAGGAGCTCTGCGTTGGTGCAACCTATTGGGCTGTGGCCCCACAAAGGACACTGTTCCCCAATTCTGCAGCAGCATGGTGTGAGAATCCCCTAAAGCACAGGGGGAAGCTCACAGCCCTTCTCCAAAACCTTCTTGGCCCTGGAGTAAGGTGTGTAGATGGGGATGGGTGCTGGCTCCTTGCAGGGTACAGTATCTGAGGACCCATCTCACCCTCATCGAGATGCCCATCTGACCTGAGTGTGGGCACTGCCATATGAAGGACTTCTCTCTTAGAAGCTGGAGGAAGCAAGGATGTGGTTTTGTCCACAGACCTCTGTCCCTGTCACAATTTTTCTGGCGAAATAGTTAATATTCCCATTTCTATGAAGTAGGGTGGTGTCCCCATCCACAGGCAGTCAACCGAGTCTGGAAAGCAAAAGGCACCATATGTACTATGTAAAGCAGTGTGACTGACAGGCTCCTCTCTTTGTCTTTCTCCCTTTATCTCTGGTGGTGTGATTTGAAGCAACGCCCTGTGAAGCAATCCCTGAGTGCCTGCATGTGCAGAGAGTCACACTGGAAATGCCTCCTCCTCTCCATCCTCATGTATGGTTGCCTGGGAGCAGTGGCCTGGTGTCAGCTGGCCCGAGTCACCAAGCTCACCTTCGACAGCTCCTTCAAGGGCAAGTCCATGATCTACCATGACAGTCCCTGCTCAGATGGCTACGTCTACATCCCGCTGGCCTTCCTTTCCATGCTGTATGTGGTGTACCTGGTGGAGTGCTGGCACTGCCACGTCAAGAGAGAGTTGCAGTACAAGGCTGATGTGGACAGTGTCTATGAATGTATCAACCGCATGCAGCAAGCCACTCCGTGCATCTGGTGGAAGGCCATCAGCTACCACTTTGTACGGCGAACCCGGCAGGTAACACGGTACCGCAATGGTGATGCCTACACCACCACCCAAGTCTACCATGAGAGGGTCAACACTCACGTGGCCGAAGCTGAATTTGACTACTCTCACTGTGGATACAAGGACATCTCCAAAGAGCTCCTGGGCCTGGAGAGCTACACAGCCACCAAGCTGAGGTTCACCAAATGCTTCAGTTTTGCCAACATCGAGTCTGAGAACTCTTACCTGACGCAAAGGGCTCACTTCTTCACAGAAATAGAGGGGCTGGATGACTACATGGAGGTAAGGGAAGGCATGCAGCTCAAAAATGTGGACTTCAAAGAGCTCATGATGGCCTACGGGGACCCAGATCACCTCCCATGGTATGTGTCTCACTATGCTTTCTGGGTGGCAGCCATCCTGATGATCTCCTGGCCTCTCAGGGTACTCATAGAGTATCGGACTGCATACGTCCACTACCACGTGGAGAAGCTTCTGGGCCTGGAATACACAGCACCCGCCACGATGGAGGAGCCCCTCTACCGTTACCGCATGCCCCAGGATGCCACGCAGGACAGCACAGAGCTGGAGTGGCACATCTGCACCAACCGGCAGCTGATCCCCAGCTACTCGGAGGCCATGCTAATGGACCTGGCTGACTCTCCAGCATACAACAGCTATACAGTGTGTCGGTACAGTGAGGTGGCCCACGGCTGCGAGCGCTGCAACCGTGCCTCCAGCACCTCCTCCATCTTCTCACGCCACGCTTTCCACAGCTGCAGTGGCAACTCCCATCTGTCCCTCAACACCAGCCGCTTCTCCCTCTGCCGCGTCCATGGCTCCCACAGGACAGGCCTCTGGCGGAGCCGCAGCAGCAGCATTGCTGACCGGGGCTGCCATGATGAGCAGTGCTGCTCCTACTCCAGCCAGCTGGCTGTCAACGAGAATCCCCCTACCTACCACGATGCCCGCTTCTTCCCCGTCTTGATCGTGCATAGGCCGGAAGGGCACGATGGACAGCCCTTCTATGTCAGACGCTCCTCTTGTTTAGAAACGTCTCTGTGATGGGCTCCTGTGCTTTCTCAGCTCTTCAGCTCTGGAACAGCTTCACTTGCAGAGATACCACCGGCCTGCAAGTGTCAGTCAGCAGGACGAGCTTCAGATTTCAGTTCTTCTTGACATTGCACGAGGATATGGTCACCCTGCCAAGTGGCCCACCTCATTTCCAAAGCTTCTCTCCCTCCTCCTATTCGTCTCCATGTTTATTTTTCCCTTTCCTTTCACTCTTTCACTCCTCACTGTTTCTTTGTTTCTTGAGTCTCTGCCTCTCCTCCCATCCCGCTCTTTCTTTTACATTTCAGTCAGTATTTGAAAGCTGTTTCCATGAGAGGATTTAAAAAGTCTGTGTTTTGCAATGCCTTTGCCCTGCAAGGTAGGAAACTCAAGAGACAGCAAGGCCAAGCAAGATGCTGAAAGGCCTGCAGCCAGTCAGTGTCAAGTCAGAAAGAGAATTCAAATCTGCAGCTCTGAGTCACCTGCTGCAAACCTCGAACAAGGCTTTTAAAAAAATTATTTCTGCCAGTCTTTTTGCCTCTTCTTTCATTTATTGTCTCCTTTTTTGTACTTCTTCCTCTCTCCCTATTCTCATCTTCCTTTTTTGTTTTTTTCACCTCTGCTTTCCAATTTCTCATTGCACCTTTCTGGGGTTTTGTCAGTGAGGATGTCTTTCAGCCCGTAATTGGCTTCTGTTGCCCCAAAATAAGGTATTTGCAGCACAAATTTCAGTGTCCACTGACACAGACACAGGAAATGTCCCTGAGAAATGCTGAGGACATTCACCACAGAGTAGTGATACACACACAAAGCAAAAAGCATGCCTTTTGCTAACCATGCCCTGCCTGGTCTGCAGCAGATGCTGCTGCATTTCCAGATGTAGTTAACCTCCTTCAGCTCCACCAGTGTTAGCAATCGTCAAGAGCTGTAATGTAGATCAGTACCCTGCTAGTGCCACTATTTTTAAGAATGTAGATCTGGTTTGTGGTTACTTCATTCCTACCACTTGCTCGGAGCTGCTGGGACTGGCAAGGAGGAGAGAGGTCAGGGAGGGAAAGGTGTTAATCCACTACAGCCCACTCACCAGTGTCTGAAGCCTCTTCCTGCAAGGCTCCCTGCGAGTGGGTGCAGAGCCTTCAGTAAGGTATGAGATCAGCCTGGCACTGTCACCCACAGGAAGTGGCTGGTGCTTCCAAGAGCCAGGGACCAGCCCAGGGCTTCTGGCCTGCTCAGGATCCCCAGGGCCTCAACAGGTGCCAAACCTGCCATGTGCTGAGCAAGCTCTGCAACATTTCATCAGGTGGGTAGCTGAAGTGGGCATCAACTTGCAGGAGAACGCAATACAATCTCAATACAGTAACTACCAAGGTGTTGTGCCTCCCTATGGTAGGTAGATCAGAAGCTGATCCCTCAGAGGGGCTAGCAACAAATGCTTTCTCCCGAGTCAGTTCTGTGTGTATCTGTGTAATATGAGATTTGTAAAGTCTTATTAGTATGTGTAGATTATATGTAACTGCATATGGTGATTTCTTATGGCATTGACTGTTGCACTATGTTAAATACATTTTGTTTTGGTTTGATGACTGTTTTGATGCACTGTTTATTTTCAACTCTGGAAGCAGAGACATTGCTTTCACATGGGCAGTACCTGGCTAACACACTGCGGAGGATGGCACCATCAGGAGGGTTGTTTAAATTTGTATGAGCCAATCTTTTTTAAAGTAAACACTGTATGTATGATTTATGTGACATTTTCATTCTGACAGCTTGGCATTTATTGTGAAAGATATGTAACACATAGGATGTGTTAGTTTGTCACCTCTAAAAAAGAATAACCATTCTAGACACGAGGAAGAACCAGGTTTGGGCTTAGGGTAATGATTATTGTTGGACTGGGGCCAAAATCCTGAAGTGGATAAAAGTCAAAACAAAATCAAAACTTAGACCCACCCCACAATGACGCAGTCCTGGTCCCTACTGATATCATGTCACTCCTGGCAGAGCTGAGAGCCTGGGATAAGGATAGGATCAGACCTGACCTTCAGGTTCAGATTTGTCTCTGCTTTATTGGAGTAAAGGCATGCCTTGCATAGGGTTCCCTCCTCTTGTCTTCACACACACAGAAAGTTTAAAACAGCACATATGGAAGATCTGAGAGCTGGAGGAGGCTGAAGCCTCAAGAAATAGAGAGGCTGGAATATTTCAACACTGCTTCTGACTGAAGGAGGTGTTAGGGAGGAAGATGAGAAAGAAAGGAAGAGATGGTAGAATAACATAAATTAGAAGGGAACAGAGTTTGGATGCAGCTCAGATAAATGAGCAGCAGAAATCAGTTACAGCAGGCTCAGGCACAGAGGCAGGTTGTGCAGCTGCTGCATTTACCTGCAACTTTAAACACCATTCCCATGCCTTGCCATGGCCTGCTCAGTCTGATGTATATTTCAGGACTGAGTGTTATATTTGGGTCCTCAGAAGTGGCCACTCAAACAGTGTTATTATCCGACATGAACAAGCCCTAGCAATCCCATTATTATGATGGGCTGGGCAGAGAAAGGAGACAGTTTATGCCAAGTTTAACCTTTTGCAATGTGCTCAAAAGCTGTTGCAATATCCAGTAGCTCTTGGACTGTGTCCTTGTGAGAGGTTGAGAAGCCCAGAGGGTTTTTACTTCCTTACTGCTCATGGTGTAGCCCAGCTTTGGGGCACTTATTTGAGAACGATTACCTAAGGTGTAAACAGTCCCTCCTGTTACACGCCATGGCTGCTGGTGGAGGTGACTGGAAAGCTGGGAGCAGCTCCGGGCTGGCCTTGAACCAGCTGGCTTCAGCAAAGGGCCTGTGCACAGAGCACCTGAGCAACCACCTCGGGGCTCATGCCCACAGAGCTTGGCTGCTCCTGGTGCCCTCAGGAATCACACTGTTGTCACCCTCTGCTGTGGCTCCAGATATGGAAGATCTATTGCCACAGCAGAAGTAAGGAGAAGAGGAGGGCACTGAAGCCACCTGTGTGCCTCAGTGCTGTGTGCTTTGCCTTAACACAGCACCACCATCACCGGTGTCACGACCTGCAGAACAAAGCTACACAGATTAATGCAGCAACACCAATGGCCAGGAGAGAGTATTTGTCTTCAATTCCTAAAAGCATTTTGGAATCACCAGCTCCTCAGACTCTGCACAGCAATGCTGCACTTCTCTGTAAGTTTTCCCACAGCAGTTTGCACTCCAACTGGCAATGCTCGCCGGATCTTGGTCCAATTTCCATGCAGTTCTTCCTGTTGAAATAAAGCCCTTCTCAGACACTCTGAAGCCAGATCCCCGCTACTTACAATTCTAATTGTTCCTCTGCTTCCAGCAAAGCCTGGCTGCTTCGTACTAGCCCAGGGCCTGGCCCACGTCACACAGGAAGGCCTTCCCACTGCCATCTTACCAGTGTGTCCCTCTGTCCCTTCCCCACCAGCCCCAGCAGGGCTCCACACTGTGCCCAGTGCCCCAGTGCGGATTGCAGGGGCACAGAGAGTTGGAGGGCCACCAGTTAAGTGCTGTGGTTGCTACTGCAGAGCTGAATGCTGCACTGTAATGACTGTGCTTCTTATGGCATCTTTCAACCATAATTTTCTCACCATAATCCCTGTGAAAAGACAGTGCCAGATTTTGTCAGTGACTTTCCCCACACTTTGCGGGTCACTCTGTGAGAGCGGAGATCTTCTCAGCCCTCCTCCTGTCCTGGCAGCGGCAGAAAGGAGGCTGAGGGTGCACATCCCCGCAGGAAGGACGGACGGAGCAGGGGTGGTGAGTCTGCGGACCGCACACCAGATCCTTGGCTCAGGGGAGCTGAACCCCATCATAGGGCGGCTCCCGAGCCACGCTGCCCTCCGCTCCCACACGGAGGCCCCGAGGGAAGCGGCGTCCTCTCCCCGACGCCCCGTGCGTGCCAGCCCTTTGGTGGTGCTGTTGGAACGACTGCGCCCCGGCCCCCACAGCCTCCCGCGGCTCTGCCCGCCTCGGGCCGGGCTGAGAGAGGCCGGTGGCGGCGGCGGGGCGGTGATTTTCCGATCTGGGGGCCGCTCATGCATATTTATGCCGTGATGTCAGAGGGGGAGCACAGCGCGCGGTGACCGCCCGAAAGCGCCATTTCCTGGCGGAGAAGGCGGTGGCGGAGGGCCGGGCCCGGACCCGGGGGAGGAGCCGCGCGGCCGCGCGCCGATAGGGGGAGAGCGGCCGGCACTCAGCGCCCGGCGGCGGCACCGCGGAGCACAGCGCAGCGCCCGGAGCGCCGCTGACCCGGCCGGAGCCAACGCGGAACTTGGAGCGTTCCCGCAGCGTCGGAGGCCCGGTGAAGCCGAGGAGCCGGGGGAGGATGGTGGTGCGGGAGCGATGGAGCTGAGGCGGAGCATGGCGCTGCCGCGGCTCTTCTTGCTGGGACTGTGGGCTGCGGCGCTCCGGGACGGCGCCGTCGCGGCAGGTGAGGCGCTGACAGCCCGGCGGGGACTCGGGGCCGACGCCGCCACAGGTGGCCGGGGCTCGGCGTGCCCGCGGGGCCGGGCTGCGGGAGCCGCGCTTGGCGGCGGACTCGGAAAGCCTCGGGGGTCGACGGAGGCATCGCCCCGGCCCTCGCCTCGCTCGGGTCTCCCCGGAGGAAAGCCGGGCGCGAGGCGTTCCCGGGCGGCTTTTGCCGGTGTTCCTTCCGAACTGGTTCTCCGAAGTTTCACCTCCGGGGCCGCTCGGTGCCCGGCGGGCGGGAGGCGGCGGGACGCGGGAGCGGCCGTGCCGCGGCGGGACGGGACGGGGCGGGCAGCTGCCAGCCGGAGCGGCGGGCACGGCGGGGCGAGGGAAGCTCCCCGCAAGGCGCGCGGGCAGCGGCCGTCTCCCCCTCGCTCCAGAAATAACTTCACCAGACCGTACTTCTGTTCCCAGCCATCAGAAGATTCAGCCGTCTCAAGAGTTTGTTTTTTTAAAAACCACCACGGGCAGATCTGCTGCGTGTTTTGACAGCCGGTGTGTTCTTTTGCTGTCAGTTCTGTCTGTTGGCGAGGAATGTGACATAATTTCATTTCAAGCAGCCCTGCACGCTGCAGCGGGAGCCGCTGGTGCAGATCGGCTCGGAGGAGCCCCGCGGAGTGAGGTTGTTCCCTGTGCTGCCCGAGTGCTGTCAGATGGGAAGGTGTGAGTGGGAGAGTAGAAGGAGGAAAGGGAGGCATTAAAATCCACTTTGATCGCCTCTGTGCTCCCTCCCACAGGAGGCGACAGGAAAGGTGCTGCAGATTAGGCTGCATTTTGTCAGAAACCTGTAAATTTACTAAAAGACCCTGACCTGTATTCCCTCATTTCAGTCCGTCCTGACAGGGGGTTCATTATACGATGTGGAGAATTACGACTTGGGCTGAATACTCACACCGTATATTAAATTCCTCCATCATTACTTAGTGTGGGAACTGAAACCGTAAAGGGTCTCTAATGACACTTCATTGTTTAATTTGTGGCTAACTCTTCAGCAGAGCCAGCCCGGGGAGGCCAGGTAGTTTGCTTTTCCTTTGAGGCTCCTGAGCTGAGAGTGCCGGTCGGTGTCCATGTGCTCAGCCTCCTGCCCGTGCTGGTTTGCTGTGGCACAGAGAGCTTTTGTGCAGCTTTCAGCTTTCCTGTTTTGCTCCAGCACTGAGCAGTGGCAGGGAGGCTGCTTTCTGGCACACACGGAGATATGCAGTTTGTGTTACAGATGAGTTAAGTAATGTGAGATTAGATCATCCTCACCCAAGGTGATTAAATCCTTTGCCCTGCAAACCAGTTGCAGAGCCTAACCTAAAGCTAGCTTACTGTTTTTGCTGTGCTTTTTGTCGATTTGATGAATTAACAGCAGCAGGTAGGCAAAAATGCAGCATGCTGGCAGCAGCTGTTAGCAGCTGGTGGGACTCCATGGGAGAACATCCTGCTGCCAGCATTCAGGGCTGCTTGGGGTGCTGGGCTGCACACTTTCCCTGCTGCTGCAGGAGGTGTGGGGCTGGGGGGGAGTGGCACACAGTGCACCTCTGTTTTCGGTCACCTTTGGGTGTGATGGAGTTGTAGAGCAGCGGGGCTGCCGGCTCAGCAGTGCTCTGTAGGGCAGTAAGGCATCCTGCAAGCAGCTGGCAGCCAGTGCCTGTAATGCATGGTGATACGTGGCTGCACCAGAGCAGGGGAGTGGTGGGGTGGTGTTGTTGGGGTTTGTTTTTGTTGTGTTTTCCTGAAGGATGCGGAAGCCGCTCTCAGGACATAATATTGGGCTGGGCTAGACCTGTTCTGATCTGTCGGTCCTGTGCCACCACATAGGAAATGGCTACTCTCCCTAACAAAACCAGCTTCACATTTATTTTCCACATTCCACCTTTCCCACGGTCTCCTTTGATCCTCTGGTTCCTCTTTTATTTGCCATCTTTCTTAAACGTGCTCCTCCAGCTGGCTTCTGTGCTCTCTCATGGTAACACATTCCATAGATGCACTCTGCTCGAGGGAAGCACTCCCCACCCACCCACCCACACACATTGCTCTGGGCCAGATGCCGATTGCTTCTGCGGCAGCGTGGCAGTGAGCAGCTCCACTGGCACTGGTCCTGCTGCTTTAGGGTTGCAGCTCCATGACCCGAGCACAGCACAGTCCTTTGGCCGAGCCCAGAGACTGGGGAAGCTGCTGGAGCACACGTCGCCTGCGTCGGGTGGCAAATCCCTGCTCAGCAGTCAGGTGTTCTGCAAAACAGGCTTTGCTTTCACAGGTCTTGTAAATGGCAGGGAGGCTTCCTGTAACACGGAGGAGCTGTGTACGCTGAATAACATGGCATAATTGAGTCTTTCTTGTGTCCCAGCTCTTTTCAAATGTGTACAATGGAGCAAGCAAGATGCTTTCTTAGCAGCACAGGGGCTCTGAAGCTGAAATGAAAGCCAGGGGAGAAAGAGGGAGGTGTGGTACTGCAGTGAGAATGTGCTCAGTGTAGCTGGACCACAGGCATGGCCAAACTCTGGCCCTTTGGGCTGTTTCTGCCCAGTAGCATTACCTAGTGCTGAGCAAGCAGAGCTGGGAGCAGCTCCACATGCAGACTGAGCACCAGCTCTCTTCGCTATAGCAATCTTGGTGCCTTTGGCTGTTGCTGAGCAGAGGCAAGACCACTGCTCTTTGCAGAGCATTCTGGTAGGGTATGTAATTCCAGAGTGCCAACCTGGAGTAATTTGCTGTACTCCAACCCCCCTTTTTTCTGGGGGTGGGGAGGAGTAGTATTTTTCTTATAGGTATGAAGTTTACAGGATCTCCAATCAAATTAAAGGTGTCCCAGGGTCAACCCGTCAAACTAAATTGCAGCCTGGAGGGAATGGAAGATCCTGAGATGTTGTGGATCAAGGACGGAGCAGTGGTGCAAAGCGTAGACCAGGTGTACATTCCAGTAGATGAAGATCACTGGATCGGCTTCCTCAGGTACACCAGATGCGGAGAACGAAGAATATCATGGAAACTATTGCAATGTTCTGCTGTCAGCTATAGCTGCGTGACTGCAGTGACCTTGGTGGGCAGGGTCCTTTGGCCTGCAGTTCAGCATATGGCAAAGGCATAACTGAGAGCAGAACTGAAGCCACTGAGGGCTGAGACGATGCACTGGAACCCTACTGGTTTCCTGGCTGTGCTTACAGGTGCTTTGCTAACACTTGTACTGCTTGAGACATGACTTCGAGGTGAAAGGCTGTTCTTGCCTTGTTTGTTCATCTTGCTCTGCCGTGCAGCTGGAAGACTAATGCCTGACTTACAGGTTCTCTCTCTTGTACTCTGTTTTCTTTCTCTCTCTCGAGCTGTCAGTCTGCCTGAGGGGTGAGCCTTGCTCATTGAAAGGGAGATTTCCAGACCTCCATCTGCTTTCTCTCTTTAAGGAAGAGTGTTTGGCATCCGAACCTTCCCCAAGTTATTTTTCAGAGATTTTTCTAATATGTTTATTCCACACGATACCAGGCCTGCCCTGCTCAGAGGCTCAAGAACTCCCTTCTGCAGAGCAGCTTTCTGCGAGCTTAATGCAGCAGAAGGTGGGTGTTGGTCAGTTCTGGAAGTGAATTAAACAGGATCCAAGCCTCTCCTCTGGCTCTTTTTCTGTACATAAAGGAAGTTTGTACAAGCAAACATGCCATCACTCTGAGGGCTCAAAACTGTTAACTGACTAAGAATAAATCTTCTGAGCTGAGGCTTCTTTTCTTCTTAGGTCTCTTGGTGTGGCATTGCATGGAGTCTCCAGTTCCAGCCACTAAAAATTTTGTGACTTGCTTGTAATAAATGTTCTGATAGGAAAAAAAAACTCTATGCCTCGTGAAACTGTTGCATAACATTATGTTATGGAAACAGTTTGTCTTGAATCTATACCATTTACTTCCTCCCGTTCTGCTTTGCCTCTGTCAATCTGATCTCTTCTCATATCTTGCTTTTTTCCACTGAGCATTTTCTGCAGCCCCAGGGCTAAGTTAGGGTGCTAAATCCAGATGTTTCCATGTTTCTCTCCTTTTTCTTTTCTGCTACTGAACCGGTCATTTCTCCCATGCACTGTGTGACTCTTTGCAATTGCTGTGTTTCAGAACATGTGGTTGGATGGGCAAGACTGCTGCTTCCAGGGGAAGGTTCAGCTCTGAAAATCAGGCTGTAATGGGACCATTGTGTGCATTTCACCTAACACTCTCTCTTTTCAGAGAGAGTGTTTTCTGAGACATCCTTCCCTGTGCCCGAGGACTGCTAATGTTAGGAAAGTGGGTCTCAGATCTGCTGAGGATCCCTGCACGACAGTAGGCACATGGCTGCTCATCCTGGGGGGGCAGTAGACATTGCTATAATGATGGGCACTCAGAGTCATGCTGGTGCCTTTGGTAACTGCAGTAGCTTTGGGACCAAATTCTGCCTTACTACGCTATCCATGTTAGAAGCAGCTAAGATGCTGCAGATATCCAGTGGTGGATGAAGAAGCAGAATTTCTCCTATGAACTGCTCAGTCGCCACAACTGCTTTCCCCTGTTTAGGTGCATCCTTTCAGAAGGAGAGTTAATGCTGAGCAGGGAACAGTGTAGAAAGCTTTGTAGGGTGAGGTCAGGGTGT